ATTTAGGTTTTCACCTCGAAGCATTTATATATTTTCTTAATTTTGCTCGAGGGCCTAACCTATATGGTGTTGATTGGAAAAAAAACTGTCATGATAGCACTGGAAGTTGATAGTAATGAACCAGTAGGCCCTTTCCTGAGGGCATATTGTACAGTAATGATATGCGCAATAGTGACGAACCAGTTGATAGTAATGAACCAGTAGGCCCTTTCCTTTATTCACCATAAATGTTGTCTTTGAGGGATGTTCTGCTACCAATTTCAGGGACGGGGTTGGCTGGAATGATGCAGGGAGAGTTGATAAGATGGTATGTGGATCAACAAAATCAGAAAAATAGCTACAGTTCCTTGGAGGAAGCAAAGAATGAAGCTTCCAAAATCAAAGCCATTATAGAGGTAAAACTAAAAATATCTTGAGTCTCGCCAATATATTTTAGAAGTTCTATGCGAGTAACATATTGGATGGGACTATTGAACACGACAAATGTTATATTGCAGAGTTTGATTCGGAGAGAAGGCTTTTTGATTGTGGTAGATGATGGCAGCCGACCAGAAGCAGATGGTGATGGTGGAAGGCAGTCATCATCAAGAGATGACAGGATATTGGCTGTGGCTCCTAATTATGTGGTAGAATGATGTGATGCATTCACAACTCGGTAACCAGAAGACTCATGCATGGTGCACGGTGTATGAGGTCGCGAAAGTTAAATTGTAACCTAACCATTTATACATGCTGCAAGCTCGGCTTTTCTATAGCCACTAGTTTTTAAGTTCACGGCAGCTGAAAGCTTGGCGTTGGAATCAGCCCATTGTTCTAATCGTAAATGCATTTGAAAGATCTGAAAATAACATCTAAAGTTTGGTAGGTGATTAAGGAGTGATGTTTTTTTCTCCATGATTGTTATACAAAGCGCAGATATTTTATGGTGGCACAGAGCCGGACTTTCAGGTACTAGATTCAGCAGCACCACTTGCATCTGCTGAAAATGTTTAACAGAGCAGGGATATTAGTGCGGATTGACAACTCAATTCTGCAGCTAAGATTTGCAGATCTCAGCGGCTTCCGGCTCGGTTTCACAATTTCCATCTGCTGGAGTGGGATGCGTTATCCTGTTCTCCCATCAATAGATGCCTGACTTAGTTGCTACTTACAATGAAACCTGACATTATAAAAGTCGACTAGTTTTTGTGAGTGCCGTAGTTGGATTGAACAAAAGCCTAAACGAAGTCTTCATTCCAGCCAAGGTATAGTGGCATGAATAATCTGCGAAGTTAAGCAGCATGGTGATTGATTCAGCAAGGTTCGATGAACTCGTGAGTGATAGCCTCCACCAAAAACGTTGTCGTGTTGTCTCCTCTGGGCTCAGAGAATCATCTCCCTTGATCTCAGCCTGGCTTTACAGGTTGAACAGCCAGGGGCTTCTCTTAAATTCATTCATCGCTATAGTTTTATATGTCTGCTTTAATTAGTTAAAGCTTCTGAACAATTAAAACGAATGTATTTCAATACTTGTGGCTGATTAGATGTCAGAGACGACAGTAGTTCTTACCGACCCATCAATTTCGAATCTCTATCCTAGTGGAAATGAGCAGTCTATGATCATTTCTAGTTTTGGAAGCTAGAACGCCAAGGCTCACAATTTGCCGTCTTGTTACCGTCTTGCATTTTAAAATAAGGCCACCTACCCTTGCTTCGATGTCTTGCTACGATGAAGAATTTCTTACACAAGTTTAGTGATGGCATTTCCTATGTAGGGCCATCACAGATCAAGGTTATGAATGAAATATGTAAAACTACGTATCTGTACTGTAGAATTGGTGAAGCGAGGCTGCTTACCTGTCATTGTGCTGTGATAGTTGCCAGTTAGACATGAGGCAACGAGGTGATAATGTGAGTTTGATCCACCTTGCAGATGCGTCGTAAAGAATTTTCTCCTCACACTCGCAGTCTGGTTTTATCAGTACTCCTGTCTTAAAAGAATTCTGATATATTTTTTTGGGTCCCAATCAAGGGTAAAATGAGGTGCACAGTGGTTCTTGTCATTATATATATATATATTGAGTTTTCAGCCCTGTGCAATTTTGCTCTGGCTTAAACTTGGGACATGATAAAATCTTGTGGAACATTAGGGTCAGTTAATCCTTCTTTTCAATTTGCACTGCAAACCCTTCAATTTCTTTCCTTAGGTTCCACATTTTTTGTGGGTTTCTTTGTTACCTATAAAAAAATCATTTTAATTTAAATAAAAAAATCATTTTAATTTAAAAATTTAAATAATTAAATAAAATGCTAAAATATAATTTATATTATTTTTTAATATATTATCTTAAATAAAAATCTTTTATATTTAAAACTTACATAGATTTATATTATTTTATACTTAATTTTTATCAAATAAAAAAAATGATAAGATTCGAACCCGTAATTACTTGATATCAAGGTTCTGATATCATGTTAATAATAAGATTTGAACCCGTGATTATTTAATTATCAATGCTCTAATACTATATTAAATGAGTTTAAATCTCGTTATTTTTATTTATTTAATAAAAATTAAATACAAAATAGTATAAATTTATGTAAGTTTTAAGCACAATAGGCGTTCAATTGAAGAAATATATTAAAAAATAATATAAATTATATCTTATAATTTTATCTAATAGTTTAAACTTTTGAATAAAATTTTAAAATATAATCGATATTATTTTACAAAAACTATGATATTTATGTATATAACAAGATTCAAGAGAGACAAAATCATGTGCTGCATGTAATCTTAATTCCAGACGGCCAATGGGGGCTAAAACTGGGGATTTAAATTTCAGCGAAGGAAGTGCATCATCATTAATGCTCTGAAGACGAACAAACAGCTAAATAACCAAGTAATTTTAATCGAAATGCTAAGGTTGGAAAAGACTTGAACTTGTGAAATCACCCTAATATTGTTGACAAAATCAACAATGTTTGTCAACAATGTTAGGCACAAATTTGTCAACAATATTAGGCACCAATTTGTCAACAATGTTAGGCATAAATTTGGTGCCACCTACCTTGCCCTTGTCTTTTGCATGGATGTTTGCCTATAAATAGGCAATGCATCCAAGCATTATATACACACCATAAGAGAGAAAGAAAAGAGGGTGAGAAGAGAGTAATCCCACAAAATTGTGAGGTATTTGTGAGATAGTAAGTGAGGTGTTTTCTCCTAATAATAGAGAGATTTTTGTTGTTCTCCTATTATTAGAGAGAAGTTGTATTCCCACATTACTTAGTAACATCCTTCTATACTTGCTCGTGGACGTAGCCAAATTGGGTGAACCACGTAAATTCTTGTGTGTCATTTCTCATTTTATTTTGTCCCTTACCTTTTGTCTTGTCGGGTTTGTATGCCGGTATCCTAACAGTGGTATCAGAGCCTTCTGGTTGGTGTTGTTAATACACAAAATTTATTCGTGTATACGGTTACTATTCACCTATACGGCACTATTCATCCATACGGTACTGTTCACATACGTTGCTGTTGACGTATATAGAAAGTCAGTGCGGTGATTAAATACAGTCTAGGAAGTTCTGTCTAAGGAGATTGGGTTTTAAGCGGGACCGTTTGTGACCCCTCCAATCTTTCCTGGGAACTTACTTAGTGAAGTATTATTCACACGATACTATTTCTATATACGTTACAGATCTGTGAAACGGTGATAGCTAAATAGATCTTGGTGAATACAATGGCAGCAAAGTACGAGATTGAGAGGTTTAATGGGAGCAATTTTTCATTGTGGAAAATGAGAATTAAGGCAATTTTAAGGAAAGATAATTGCTTGGCAGCAATTGGGGATCGGCCCGCGGAGATCACTGATGATGCAAAATGGAATGAGATGGATGGCAATGCTATTGCTAACATACATTTAGCATTAGCCGATGCAGTATTATCAAGTGTGGCGGAGAAGAAAACAGCTAAGGAGATATGAGAGACTCTAACAAAGCTATACGAGTCCAAGTCTTTGCACAATAAGATTTTCTTAAAGCGGAGACTTTATACCCTTCGAATGGTAGAAACCACATCGGTGACTGACCATATCAACACAATAAGAACTCTATTTTCACAACTCACTACATTGGGTCAGCAAATAGAGGAAAATGAACGTGCAGAGCTTCTACTTCAAAGTCTTCCTGATTTGTATGATCAGCTCATTATCAACTTGACAAATAATATCCTCTCAGATTATCTAGTCTTCGATGATGTTGCAGCCGCTATCTTGGAAGAAGAAAATAGGCGCAAAAACAAAGGAGACAGAAACAGTTCAAACCAAGCAGAGGCATTGTTGGTGTCAAGAGGAAGATCAACAGAGCGTGGCTCTAGTGGGAGTCAAAGGCAGGGGAGGTCCAAATCAAGAAGTAAGAAGGCTGTGAAATGCTACAACTGTGGCAAAAAGGGGCACTTCAAAAGGGATTGTTGGTTTAAAAGGGGTATAGAGAATTCTGCAGAGTCATCAAAATCTCAAGGGTGTGTTGCAAGCACCTCAGAAGATGGAGATGTTTTATATAGTGAAGCAGCGACAATCTCTACAGATACAGAAGAGCTCACTGAGGTCTGGCTAATGGATTCAGGAGCAACATGGCATATGACTCCTAATCGAGATTGGTTCCATACATATAAACCTATCTCTGGAGGCAAAGTGTTCATGGGTGATAATCATGCTTTAGAGATTGTTGGCATTGGCACCATCAAATTGAAGATGTATAATGGCTTAATTCGTACTGTTTTAGAAGTGCGACATGTGAAAGACTTAAAGAAGAATCTTTTGTCCATAGGATAATTTGATAGTCTTGGCTGTAAGATCCGAACAGACAATGGAATTATGAAAATCATCAAAGGAGCGCTAGTGGTTTTAAAGGCAAGAAAGACAGTTGCAAATGTATTTGCATTAATGGGAGAAACACATCATGAGGCAGAAACGTCAATCGCATCAATCAGTCCTGCAGAAGAGAAGACGATGATGTGGCATCAAAAACTAGGTCACATGTCAGAAAAAGGTTTAAAGGTTCTCTCTGATCAGAAGTTACTCCCTGGGCTTACAAAGGTTACTTTACCTTTTTGTGAGCACTGTGTTACAAGTAAACAACACAGGTTGAAGTTTGGCACATCAACAACTAAGAGCAAATGCATCTTAGACCTGATTCACTCTGATGTATGGCAAGCACCGGTTATATCCTTGGGAGGAGCAAGATACTTTGTATCATTCATAGATGACTTCTCCAGGAGATGTTGGGTGTATCCAATTAGAAGGAAGGCAGATGTGCTTACAGTCTTTAAAACTTTCAAAGCGCGGGTGGAACTTGAATCTGAAAAGAAGATCAAGTGTTTGAGGACTGACAATGGAGGAGAATATACCAGTGATGAATTTGATAACTTCTGTCAATATGAAGGTATCAAAAGGCAGTTCACAACGGCATACACTCCACAACAAAATGGAATGGCAGAGCGGATGAACAGAACTCTATTAGAAAGAACAAGAGCAATGTTGAAGGCTGCAGGTCTAGGAAAGTCATTTTGGGCAGAAGCAGTCAATACCGCCTGTTATGTGATAAATCGATCTCCATCAACAGCAATTGAGTTGAAGACACCGATGGAGATGTGGACTGGAAAACCAGCTGATTATTCTCGATTGCATATATTTGGAAGTCCTGTGTACGTGATGTACAATACACAAGAAGTTAGCAAGCTGGATTCAAAATCCAGAAAATGTATATTCTTGGGATATGCTGATGGAGTGAAGGGGTATCGCTTGTGGGATCCCACTGCCCACAAGGTAGTGATCAGCAGAGATGTCATATTTGCAGAAGGTAAAATGCAAATGGAAGAACATAATAGCATTCTAAAAGAGACTACAGCAGTCCATGTGGAAAATACTCAGAATCATGCTTTTTCTGAAGCTGTACCAGAGCATGAAGAGCAAGAACAAATAGAGTCTGAAACTCCTGAAGTTCGGCGGTCGACTCGTGAAAGAAGACCACCGGCTTGGCACTCAGAATATGTTACTGAAAGTAACATTGCATACTGTCTTCTAACAGAGGATGGAGAGCCATCAACTTTCCATGAGGCTATTAAAAGCACAGATGTGTCTATGTGGATGACAGCAATGCAAGAGGAGATTGAAGCTCTGTACAAGAATAATACTTGGGATCTTGTT